AAGGAGGGGGGGGGGGTAATAAACACCCCAGCTGGTTAATCGTGCCATTTCTCGACAATTTTTTGTCCGAGCTGATCATTTCAGTAGTGGAGTGGTAAAACGGTTCAAGTTGACTTATCTCTTAGTTGAGTTTTTGAAGAATATCTCCGAATTAAAGTGATATAATGAAATTTTCGTAATAACCATTTCTCTAGAGCAAATTGAGTGCTACAAAAAAGGTTCTAACAAAAATTTAGCTATCTCCCTTCGATTCCGTGATATTCATGAAAAAATGGTCAATAGTCAAAATCGTCTTGAACCGGTTTACCACTTTGCTACTGAATTATACACAGAACAAGATAAATTACGCTAAGCGTAAAATCAAAGCGTAGTTCAAGTGTAAAATACGCTTCAGAAGGCGAAAAATGCATCATCCTAAACGTAATTCAACAATAAAAAAATTATCAGTCGCTAAAAACAATAAAAAATAATCTGTCGTTAAAAATTTTACTAATGCTTCAACATGGTTGTGTCCACTGCGGATTGGACGGCCACCAGCCAGCAGCACGGAAACACGAATACACGGACATGATAGAAGACTCAGTGCCATTTCGATCCAATAAAAAGCACAAGTATTCTGAATTTCAAAGTCCTGAGAAGCATAGAACAAGATCTCCGCGTAGTGATGAGTTCCTTGTGCCTCATAATATCAATACTCTTGAGTATTATCTACGGTAAGGGCTCAATGATATTGATTTCGTACTCATCGATTATCGGTAATTAAATTATCTGATCAAGTATTTTCTGCCTAGATGTAAACAGCATAGACGGTGGCTTGCGGGCGGAACCGGGCGAATTTCCTTACGTTGTTTCCATATGGATGTACGGGAGTCACCACTGCAGTGGCGTTATCATTGATAAAACTCATATTCTCACGGCAGGACACTGTGTCGATGGATTTCGAGTGCAAAGTTTAGCTGTACTTCCGGGAGTTGTTGATTACGAGAATGATCGAAAGGAATGGTTCGCGGTTAAATCGTATCGTAAGCATCCAGATTTCGAGAGTTTCCAATTGGAAGGTCGGCAAACTGATTGGACACGACATGACATTGCTGTTTTGACGGCAAGTATTTCAGTTATATGGGAGGGTAGGGCAAAACGGACTAGGCGGGCAAAACGGACCACTGACAAAAAATTGATAATTTTTGTTTTTCTTCCGAATGGAGCAAATTCGAAGTCATTTGTGGTTGGAGGCGATTAGCAAATCTGATCAAATTGCGGTTCAACGACACTTGTTGTCTACAAAACTCCTGTGACGGTTACGATCCAAGAAACTCACTTTTAATTCAACACATTCAGTGTTTCTGAATTGAAGGAAAGCAAAAAAAACAAAAATTACCAATTTTTTGTCAGTGGTCCGTTTTGCCCTCTCGATCCGTTTTGTCCCACCCTCCCCTATCACGAATAAATCGCAGAGATAAAAAGGAAGGAGGGGAATTGTAAAAACTCGATGCGCCAGAGAAATGCTGTTCGCTAGAAAATTCTGTTGAAATTCTCTGGAAATTCTATGGGGATTCTATTAAAATTCTAGGGAATTTTCGTTAAAAATCTATTTTTTTTTGCGCTGATTCCATTAGATCTTCGATTTTTCTGTTTGAATTTTTCTCCTGAGATTTTTTCTATTAAAATTATTGGGCACGGATTTCCCAAGTTATTTCCGCTATATTTTTTTTTGTTTTGCATTACAGGATCCGAGTGAAAAAACTTAGGAAATTCATGTCCAAGTATTTTTATAGAAAAAATTCCAAGAGGATTTCAATCACTCATATATTGTTATTCCATCTAACATCTTAAATTCGGGTGGCTTCTACATTCGATAGTGTCCAGAGTTCAGAATTAATTTACCCGTAATTCTCCGTAAAAAGCTATGACTTTATTTATGCCTTATGCAATTATTCTGAGAGATATGTATATTATTCATGCAATGTTAAAAATTTTCATCTGAATTTTCCGTGCCAAGTTCCAGAAATTTTTGTCTTGTTTAATTTCCACTAAAATTTCAGGAAATCTTGTCATCAAAAAATAAAATATTCCATTAATTCCAAAATTTATATTATTTTCAATATTCATGCTCTATTCAAAATTCAATCAAGTTGTGAAATTTCGATCTCACTCGCACCGAAAACTCATGAATTTCCTTGAATTCTGCCTAAAACTATAAACTTCATGACCATTTTCCCCGAAATCCGATTCAATGTCGCTCTTGTGAGAATGACTATGATATTTTCCATGAAAGTCCAAAGAATTTCCGACAGTGTGGAACGTTTGCACGTGGTGATAATAAATTTCGACTGTTCCTCGGAAAAATATAGCTGGCCAGGCCCTTGACCTTCAATGCTCGCATTCACGCAGCTGTATTCAGTCATGAAAGAATAGCGGCCGACGAACCCGATGAAGGTCCTCATCTCATTAATGCTACAGACGCTATGGCTATTGATGATGCGCTAAATATTGCTCGCAGTCGCATGGATCTAGATACTGATGATAGCGATAGTGAAAGTGATGATTATCAAGATCGTTGTTGTCGATGTGAAGTAAATTTTCGAATAGCAGGATGGGACTTCATTGAAGAGTCCAATGAAAAATTGCTGTACTTATTGTGGACAGATGCGATAATTTACCCGTACAAAATCTGCGTCAAAGAGCGGAAGATTCTGTTTGAAAACGAGTTATGTGCTGGAGATCTGGAAGAATCAACCATTGCAGGCGCGGTAAGATCAGTTGTCTGTGACAAGTTCATATTTTTTGTTAACGAATTTATTCTACTTACACTGCGAAAACTAATGTCTGAATTTCAGACACTTTTGTAGACACTTTTCAAACACTTTTGGACGATTTTGTAGACACTTTTGAGACATTAAAATGTGTCTGAATCAATGGAGGTATTTCAATTTCAGACACCAAAATATCTGAAATTAAGATACAGACATCAGTTTCAGACACAAGTGGTGTTTGAAATTTTTAGACATCAGTTAGATTTTCAGACACTTTTAAAGATTCAGACATTTTTTGCTATCTGCCATCTTAAATTCAGATGGTTGTCAGACACCTAGTTTTTGCAGTGGATGAGTCAAATTTTCAGACATGAGAAACATCTTAAAAATTAATGTTTGAATGGACTTTGCCGTCTGAATCAGCTGAGGTATCTTAATAGTGAAATGTTTGAATCGCTCATAGCTGAATTTCAGACAGAAAATATCGGAAAATAAATCCCTGAAATTTTTCAGACACAAAAAATGTCTACCATCATTTTCAGACAGAAACGGTGGTTGAAATTTTTAGACATTAGTCAGATTTTCAGACACTTTTGAAGATTCAGATGTTTTTTACCATCTGACATGTTAAATTCAGATACCTGTCAGACACCTGGTTTTTGTAGTTCAAGAAATGAATTTATTTTACTCAATTCTCTGATTATCTAGGGAGACAGTGGGACACCAATTATGCTGAACGGAGAAGTCATTGGTATCGTCGTAAGAGGTGCTCAAGAATCTCACGGTGCAATTCTGACAACTATACTCAGAACATTGCCGTACTTGGGTTTCATCGATGAGGCTGTAGTGGAAACCCGCAGCGTCCTTCTGGATCTACTTGACCGTCCGTGAATTTGAGAGGAGTCATAAATTTTGTTGAAACGAGCCTGTATTTCCTGCTGCTGCAATTACCAAGCATCTATCGGGGATTATAATAAAGACTATTGTGAAAATTTAATCGGCGGTCTTAGTCTTTTGGTGTAGTCACCAGGCATTCATACTCCGCTCCAGATTTATCGACACTAGAACAGGGCGCGTATTGTTTTCCATGGGTGCCAGAATAGTCATAAAACCGTACCGTTTCCCACTTTCATTAAATTTTAAGTCAGTGATAATGCAGGAGAAGTGAATGGTTCCAACAAAGTTCTTCACAATGAGAATTTAATTGGTGAATAATTTATTCGGAATTGTCATAATTCTCTTCATCTTCTTCGTTTCGGATTTTTTTCAATATCTTGAGTGTCTAACCCACGCAACATCTCGATCAAAGCTCACACGATCACGTTTCGTCCCTAAGCGTAATGTTACAAGAAGTGATTTTCAGAAATTCATTTCTCACTAGGATGCCCCGATGGAAGGATTAAGATTATTACTAATGTATGGCTCAAATATGAACCTTGCATATGAGACAATATCACTATTATGGTGAATAATGTGCGTTTTGGCTAAATATCCTAAAGAATTACCGTCCGAATTCTGTGTAGCAAATAATACCATAATGCCAATTTCTGGTGGAACTTTTTCTGTAACCAATCGTTACAAATGTTATTCATACTTCTGCATACACGTATTCAACGAGATTCGGGTGATTTTTGCTGACGGTATAAAGGCAATCGTATGGACGTTATCGTCGCTGTTACGAGCTAGGTCACTTTGCATAGCAATTCTATCAGTTAGGCTACATGTTATTGGAGTCAGATCTTATTGAAACGAATCACTCATTTCGAGAGACTTCCGATGAAAGTTCAAACTGTGCACGTAAAAACGTCAGAGGTAAGTTGAAGAAAATTGATGTGATCATTTTCCAAAGCAACGCAGAAACTTTGAAATTGACATATTGAATTTTAAAGAGAAAAGTTTGCCGACAAGTCATCCCATCTTGACCAGTGTATTATTCTTTAATTTCTTCGGAAACTCGTTAACTTTTCAAGGTAAAGATGTGAAGATCTATGAAAATAGCCGATCATCTACTTTTAGTCACTAGAGAAATCGCCCCTGTTTGCGCTTTCCCGTCTCCAATTTAGGTCGCCGGTCATCTAGGCTGGAGTTGAAGTATTCAATTATTTTAGCTTTAGAGGAGGTAGGAAACCTTGGGAGGGTCCGGTCTGCACCGTCTATCGACTGTATGGGTCATGCCATTATCTTTGATAATGGCAGACCGCAGGGTTGTTATATAGACAGAGAGCACACGAAAAAAAAATAAAAACTTCATTTTGAGACTTGTGATTAAAAATTGAGACTTTTGAAGTTCTCAAATTGAGGATTTCAAAGGTCTCAAATTGAGAATTTTAGCAATCTCAAGTTGAGACTTTTCAAAGTCCCAAATCAAGACTTTTGAAACTCTCGAGGGGAGACGATCGTCTTCACAAACTAATCAGTTCTAATCACAGTAAAAACGAATGTTTGAATTTCACACGCCTTTTGTAGACATTATTCAGACACTAAAAAACGTCTGAATAAAATGGAAAATTGTCTGAATTTCAGACGAACAGGTGCCCAAACATCTTAATTCATGGTTAAAATTCAGACAAATTTTCATTTTATTCAGACGTTTTTTAGTATTTGAAAAATGTCTACAGACATGATGTGTGAAATTCAGACGTTCGTTTTTGCTGTGAACTTACATAAAGATGCATGGATTGAAAAAAAAAATTTAATTGCAGCGTTCGTTCAAGAGAAATCGTGTCTCAAAAATTTTTACGCCGCATGCATTCGCACACACACACATACACCCGCACAGATATATGTTCAAAAGCATCGTAGAATGATCTGAGGAGTCATGAAACATGGAGATGTCATTAAATTTTGACTTTTGATTGTTGGGGTCATTATTAGTAACTTCCTCCGTCATCAACAACATATGAGGATAGAAAAACTCAATAACTTATGAGAAAGCAATAAATTAAGAAATAAACTTTGAATTATTTCCGGCAATTCATAGGGATCAACTTTTGAATTGCATTGCCTTGAAATATACCTTAAATTGAGATCTCAAAGTGTGAAATTGAGACTTTCGAAACTCTCAACATAAGAAATTCAGGCCTCACATTAAGCCTGTTGAAAATCTCATTTTAAGAACTTTGAAATCTTAAAATAAGGGTTTTGTTTGAGTGCGGGCCGTTCATCGATCGGGGTCGCAACTCCGTGACCCCAAATTATGCGCTAATGATATAACTTCCGTGCACTTAGGACCGGAGGTATAAAGAAGAGGCTTCAACCAATCTACGCTCTCCTCATTAATCAATTCCTTCAATATTCGAATTTAATCGAAATAGTGATGAAAATCTAATCGGGTGTGAACGACGTGACAGATGAGAACAAGTGATCGGTGTCAGTGATTGGTGTCAGTTTCTCTGTACATATGAAGTTTTGGTCACGAGCATGAACCAATTTCAGACTCTCATCATGCGATCTTTCGATCACGATTTCCCATCAGTCTCGATAATAGTGACTCGAGTAATTAAATTTGATAATCGTGCTGTTAAATAGTTGTCAGTAGCAGGCACAAATATTAATCCGCATTACGCAGAGAGCATGCGTATTGGAATTTTATGAGTAGCCCAATCATTCACTCAAGTCTGCAAATTTGACAGATTATGGATTTCACGATAGAAATGGAAAATGGTAATTACCACTTTCTCGTGAAGCGGTAAGATAATTCAGTTTTGACTATTGACCAGTTTTCAATCAATATCTCGGAATCTAACGGAGGTAGCAAAATTTTTGTTATAACATTTTTTATGGAGCCGATTGAGTGCTACAATAAATGTAGGGGAGGATGGGGCAAAACGGCCCCCCTTCAATCGTCAATATTTTCCGATTCAATAATCCGATTGGGATGAGTTAGAGCTCGTTTTGAAGAATGAAAAATTATCTTCAAAATGAAGTTGAAACTGGGAATTTTCACAATGTCATTCACAAGTTATTGACAATTGAAGGGGGGCCGTTTTGCCCCACCCACCCTAATTACGAAAATTTCGCTATCTTCCTTAGATTCGTAAATATTCTTGAAAAACTTAGCTGGGAGATAAGTCGACTTATCTCCGTTTACCACTTCACTACTGAATTACATTTCATTCCACGATTACAGTAAAATCCAGTAAATCCAGTAAAATTTACCACGATTTTCTACGTAATTTTTATCCAACTTTTATCTGCGTTCAGTTTTCGCAGTGATTCCGCCTCCAACGTGTTCAATCTGGACCCGACCTGTTTGATATTTACGCTTCGTAATAGGTTCGCATCTGTCGACTGATTACTTGGAAACATAGTAAACATTTCTAAAGGTCATTTTTACAACGCACATTTCTTCCAGAATGTCCAAGGATAAAATGCTATCCATGTAAATAAATGTCTCTCCGAAGCGCCATTTACACCAACAAAACAACGTTATTAACGGCTCCCAGTATAAATTTTAGTGTGAATTTCCTATACCTCCGGACTTTATATATTTATCACCACCACATTCACATTCTCCGTCTTCGAAAGCACGTAGTGAAATTGCCAATCGGTTTTCGCGGCCAGGCAAAATAAGATTACTCGGAAAATAAAGGGGAACCGGCTGAGCCCGTGAAACTATCGTTGGTAAATTGAAGCCTTCCCCTTCGTGTCCCTGGTACGAGCCAAACGATTCAACAAAATGGAATAACCGTGTAATGCGATAGTTACTAGTAACAGAATGTACAACCCCGTTTGCCCATGGGTTATTTATTCTTCTCGTTCTATGGTACCATGTTCTCTTATTTACTGATGAATTTATTGATATTTTGAATATCATGCTCGATGACCGAATTATAAGTGAAAGGCTCTTCTGTAAATACAGTTTTCTGCATCCACATGAAGATAGAACTCAGTCAAAAATTCGGTGTTGACTCGGACACCAAAGCGGTGTACCAGAAAGTCCACACCGTTCTCGATATGGATGGTGCACTAAGAAAAATTATTTATTTGAATCAAATAAAGTTTATTTAAGTTGAATAAATAAGTTTTTCCTTGCGAATGGAAGCTTTGTAATTGTGGAAATTTAGGTTTTTGTTCAATTGTTCGCTAATGAATGGGTGGAATTGCATCCGTTTAAATGTAGGTTGAGCCCTATCATTCGTCATTAATTAAAATTTAATTCACCGATTAGTTTTTCTAATTTTCGAATTTTTTCGAAAATCGGTTGCCCCACGATACCAAAAAAAATGTTCTGAATTGATTGAATGCTGGCTTAAAAATTGGTTTCGGTGTCCTGTTGACCGAGTTCGAAGATGAACATGAAAGCAATAATCGTGATTTTGATTTATTTGAAAGTTTGCAAAAAATTTGTATTTTTTGAAAATCAGATTTCCGGGAATATCTTTGAATATCATGCTTCAAATGAATTCAATCATAGTTTATAATGTTTGTTTTAATGCCATTAAGTCAAAGTTAAAAGATGATTACGATAGCTATATTGGTTGATTTGATTTTTATGACGATTGTTGAAAACTTCGAATTTTTCATGAATTTCCCTGAAAGTGAGCTTTCTGATGGTTTCTTCAAATGTGATGTTTCAAATTCATTCAAGTGTCTATCAATAAAATTTTTCTATTAACATTTTATGGAAGGGGTCAGGGGAGAGATAGAACCGTAAAAAAGAAGATCGGTTGTATAGAAGAAAAAGATAATAACAATAATGACGATGATAACATTCAACTGAGTTGAAAATTTGACAAAATTAGTTGAAAAAAAAAATTAGTCAATTCAATAAAATGAAATAAGCAATGAATTATACATGATAGAACGAAATAATGTGCAAAATAACCATTCGGAAGCAAAGTTTTTTTTTCAAATTAAATAACGGATAATTTTCACCTCATCATACACGAACCGTCATCATACATCACAAATACCTGGCCTCTGAAGCGACTCCTATGTTCACAATCTTTCCACCGATACCAAAATAACCCCAGAATTTCCCATTTAAATTCACAC